CTGGGACAGGGCAGGAACACATCACTCCTCACGCATCAGCTGCTGCCCAGGACAGCCTGCTACCCTTCCTTGTGTCCCTGTCCCTGGCACATATGGTTTCTACCAGCTCTGTGCTTGGAAGGGATTATGTTTCCTGCACCATGTTTACCAGTTCACTGTCTCTGCAGTCCCAGAGAGATGTTTTCCCTGGAAATAGCCAGCACAGACTGCTGTCCCATCAGTCCTGAGGAATGCAAAGTGCCCAGGAGAGCAGCAAGTGACTCTTGAGTCAGTGCTGGTAAGTCCTGGGGACATCCAGGTGTCCTGTGGGCAGTGACAGCTACAGGACTGACCCTGCCTGATGCTACCTCAGCACAAGAAGTATAACATCCCCACTGGGAATTATTTTTCCCTCTGGCCTCACTATTCCCTGTCCAAAGCCACTGACCACTTCCCTCTCTTCCTTTTCTCCCCTTCTGTAGGGGCATGGTGAGCTCAGGGCTGGAACATCATCAGTTCAGACATTCCAGGTCTATTTCAGGTCTCCCCATCCCCAAATTCTATGATCTCAGAACACCCAGACACATCTTGTGTAGCGCAGGGAAGGGAAAACTCATTTAAGCACCGGCAGTCCCAGTTAGAGCCTCTTGGCTTTGGCTCAGCCTCTGCTACGCTTCCTTCCATCCATATTTATGAGCCCAATTATCCCAGAACAACAGCTTAAGTTGCTGTGAAAAGAAATGAGCTTTAATCTCCATGCCCAATTGCCATCCCTAACCCATATCTGCTGAGCCAACAGCTGCTGGTTACCAACCCTTGGTCACTGGTCTGAGCAAGAAGATGATGCCCAGAGAGGAGCAGTTACCTCTGAGGTGAGATGGGCTCAAGGTTTGGCTCTGCCTCAGACCTTCTGCTCCTTATCAGGTCTCTCCATTCAGCCCAGCCCAGTGGACATTTGTCCCACTGTTCCATGAAGGAATGATGAAGAAAATCTGCTGCTAACCATGATTATTGTTGGGGCTGCATTTCTGCAGCCAAGACCATTTTCCATGCAAACCCCAAAAAAATCCAACTCTGTCCATATCTGTATTTACAGTTAGCAGCACTTCCTTTTCCTTAATGCCTTGGGAGGTTCACACAGAGCTAAGATGATCCAAGAATTCTTCTTGGCTTAGTATTTCCACTGTCCAAGAATGAGCATATGGTAGAGAAATCTCTATTCCAGGCCTTAAATGGCCCCTGAGGCTGTAAACACACATGGGCTCAGAGTGCCAGGGTTGGCTCCTAAGTGTGTTTACATCAAGACTGGGATTACTGATGCCCAGAGGGTCACTCTGGTGAAAGATCAGAGGCAGATGGGTCAGCACCAGGTCAGGCATTGGCACACAGAAGCTCCAAAGCCAAAGCAAAGAGGTTCCTGCTGCACCCTTCAGCCTTTGGAAGTGCTGGGAGGGAAGAGCTGTGTGAAGGCACATGCTGCTGCACGTGGTCCCACCAGGCCTATTTCCAGCATGAGGACTGAAGGGAGAAAAACTCCTGGACTGGGCATGAAACAGACAGTCACAAGTGGCTCAGAAATAAGTCACAAGCCCCAGCAAGATAATGACACCTGGTGTAAGAGGAGACTTGATCCATCCTTTCCCTTTCCCCTATTTCTTGCTCTATCTCTGGTGAAGAAGGGCAGTGCCTACTGCAGGGTAACTCCTGTGTTTCTACATCCCTTTTCTTCCAGCCTTCTCTTGGAGCATTATCCCAGCTCTGGCCAAGCTCTGCACCCCTCAGTATGTACCCCTTACATGGTTCCTATCCCCTCTCCCTACACACACAGGTGCTCCCTGCCATATCCAAAGGACCGAAGCTCCCAGACATGCCCCAGGAATGATGGACAAGATCTCCTCACCCTGGACAGGGTGGTGGGAAATAACCTACCCCAGCACCTGAGCCATCCATCACCTGGTGACCTCCTCTGGCACAAGAGTTTCTCTGCCCCCAAAACTGTGCAGGGACAGGATATCCTCAGCCTCCCTTGGAGCTGGAACACACCACCAACCCCTCTAAGTTTCACTTTATTTCAAGATATTATTAAGCTAAATTAACCCTGGTCACTCTGAGCTCTCATCGCACTAGGAGAACAGCCCAGATCTGTCCCAGCATGTGGATGAGGGAGAGGGGAAATGATGTTTTATGGGATGTTCCCAAGGAACAAGGCTATTTTTCTCCCCACAGGCCCCACAAATGTGTTTGGTGTGATTTAAGGAGACCACATTTGCTTCCAGTCCCTGCCAATCAGCACATCTCTGTCTGACTCTTGGAGCTTTAGAGCAGCTGATACATTGCCCCTCTGTGCTTAAACAGAGCACAGTTTTTCTCACTCCTGCTAGGCAGAACAGTCTCAGCTTTGGCTCTGGAAAGGCTGTTCGAGCAGGGATGTTCTCTGCATGATTCAGTCTCCTCTAGGCTGAACTTTGACAAAAGCTGCAACAGCCATTGACCACTGTAGTGGTTCCATGAACTCTGCCACAGGGAGAGGCAACTTTTCAACTTTTCTCAGAAAAGTCCCACTGGGATGGTTGGTTGGAAGCCTCGTGATGGCCTTGGGCGAGCTGCAACAGCCACTGACCACTGTAGTGGTTCCATGAGCTCTGCCACAGGGAGAGGCAACTTTTCTCTGCCTAGAAAAGTCCCACTGGGATGGTTGGTTGGAAGCCTCGTGATGGCCTTGGGCTCCATCTCAGGCACTGCTAAGGACAAGACAGTGTGGGCGCAGCAGCTGGTGCAGGGATGCTACCCTGGGGCTGGGCAGCATTCCTAAGTGAGGTGCTGGGGATGAGTGAAAGGAGATCTTGGTGCCAGGGGAGGATACTCATGCATCACACAGACCTTCAGGTCTTCCAGAGCCTGCAGGGCTTCCCTTTCTCCCCTCCTCACTCCTTCCCTTTTCTTCCCTCAACAGCCTGATATCCAGTTGTGGATCTGCATTCTGGTATGAAGCTGTGTCTGTGCTTTTCCCTGTGTTTGAGAAGAAAAAGGAGAACTGAGCTGAAAAACAGCTGGGAAGATCCTACCCTGGCACAGTGAGCACCATCCACCTGTGCTGAGTCCAGGCAGCCCCGTGGAGTAAGGCAGAAAGGTTTGGGGACCAGTTATCCTCTGCTCTTGATGTATTTCACCCAAGATGAAGATTTCCCTCCTCTGAGCTCCCTCCCTCCCTAGCAGCACTGCAGGAATTCAGGATCAACGAGCAGTAAACTCTCACTGCCCAGTGATGGATGCCTCGAAGGGATTGGAAGAGGAAGGTGTGAACTCCGTGCTTGCAAAGAGCAGGGAGGAAATGAATGCTCTGCATTTAGCAGTGGAGCATGGCCAGGGAGGTGGGAGAACTTCCAACAGGGGCTCTCAGTGAAGCCACAGGTGGATGTTCGGCCACAGGTTGGCAGAGCTAAGAAGTTAGAAGGAAAACTGCTCGTTCTTCCCGCTGCACTGAGAACCGAGGTTGGTGTTCGTCGGGAAGCAGCATGAGGCTGCAAATGTGGGCACTTACTGCTCTCTGGTGGCGAGGTTGGCTGTGAAGGAGAGCTCGGTGCCCGGGAGAAGCCTCCTCAGAGCCTCCTGCTCACTCTGCTCGCACCACAGAGCAGTTTTGCTTCTTTCCCAGCCATGGAGCTCAAGGGCACTTGAAGGCAACTTGCTGGTGGCTCTCCTTGGGCTACCAATGGCCCAGGCAAGGGCACTGCAGCTGCCCTCTGTGCCCCATCAGCACCCCTGCCCAAGAGCAGGATGTGTGCCCAGCCTCACTGTCCACTCCGTAGTGCTCCTGCATCCCACAGGGCTATGCAGCCAGGAGAAGAGAGGCTGGGGAGGCTGCAAAGCCTGGGCCAGGTCAGGACTGACAGGACAGCATCACAGAGTCATTTAGGTTGGAAAATACATTCAAGATCATCCAGTTCAACCATTAATAGCAGTGCCAAGGCCACACTAAACCTTGTGGAACACTATACACTGGCCCAGGTTGCCCAGGGAGGCTGTGGCTGCCCCAACCCTGGCAGTGTTCAACACCAGGTAGGATGAGGCCTTGAGCAACCTGCTCTGGTGAGAGGTGTCACTGCACAGGGCAGGGGGTTGGGGCTGGATGATCTCTAAGCTCCATTCCAGCCCCTAAAATTCAATGATTTTGCATTGAACACTTAGGAGTGCCACATCTATATGTCTTTTAAACACCTCCAGGGATGATGCCTCCCCCACCTCCCTGGGCAGCCTGTTCCAATGCTCTTTGCCTGTGCTCCTGCTTTAGACACTGCAAGTCCCATGGGCTGTGAGGTAGAAGAGATCACCTGGATGCTCCAGTGCCAGAGCTGAGGCTGAAGGGCAGGGCTGGGGTGAGAGTGAGCTCTGCCTCCCCCAAGCAGCTCAACCAGGTCTCATCCCCAGGTGAGGCTTTACCAGCTCCTTTCATTCCTCCTCATTTCCCTCATTCTTTCTCTCACTGACAAAAGCTTTGGTGGTGCTTTTCACAACAGAGGGGCTCAGCAGTGTTGTGGGGCACAGACCTCTGTGGAGGAGACAGGACAAAATCCAGACAGGAATAAATAAAAGAGCTGCTATTCAAGTTAAAACACCTTTGGGTCAGGCTCAGCTGCCCCACGGGACCTGAGCTGTGGGGACAAGCAGGCACATGGCATCACCCTCCTGTCCCCATCCTGGGCAGGACGCTTCTGAGACACCAGCATAGCTCAGTCCTGCTGCTCCTCATGCTCCAGCACTGCTTCCAGGGCCTCATCCTGCCCAGATCCCCTTGAGATACCACCTGCAGCACAGAGTCCTCTCCTGGAAAATCAGGGCAGGGTGCCAAGTGCTTGGTTCCTGTCCTGTTGGGCACAAGAAGAGCAAACACTGCCAGATACTTAAGATGTGCTGCAGAGCCTCTCCTGGGCTGGTTGTCCTGGAGAGCACATGGAGCTGTGCCAGTGGCACGTCACGACGCTGTTGACGGCTCCCATTGGAGTCCATAGGTGGCAGATGGGTCAGACGATGTGGCCACCTTCACTCAGCCACCTGGGTCGGTATGTGGCACAGCCTGGGGTGCCCTCAGGTCCCCCTGGGGCACCAGGGATGTTACTCAGCTTGGCATGGATGAGGTCCTGTAGGTTCTGGTCTCCCAGCTCGGTGGCTGCGGCGAGAGCCAGTAGGAAATAACCTGCTGCATCCTGTTCATCCTAGTCATAAAGGACAGGGTAAGCATCAGGAAGTGGTTTAATTGGAGCTCACAGGGCACAAGGGGAACTGGAGCAGAGCCCAGTGGTTCCAGGCACAACCCATTGACACCTGATTTCACTGCAATGGGGTCTGAGCGCAGCACTCCTTGCAAAATTGCTTTTCTCCCTCCAAAACCTGTTTCATACTTTCATAGCATGTGAAGGGGTTGGAATGGAGCTTAGAGATCATCCAGCCCTAACCCCCTGCCCTGGGCAGGGACACCTCCCACCAGAGCAGGTTGCTCAAGGCTTCATCCAACCTGGCTGTGAACACTGCCAGGGTTGGGGCAGCCACAGCCTCCCTGGGCAACCTGGGCCAGTGTCTCACCACCCTCACAGGGAAAACTTCTGCCTGATATCTAATCTACATTTCCCTCTCCCAACTTCTCCTCATTACTCCTTGTCCTGTCACTGCAGTTTCTAACACAGAGTCCTTCTGCAGCTTCCCTGGAGCCCCTTCAGCTCCTGGCAGGTGCTCTGATGGCTCCACACAAACTTCTCTTCTCCAGGCTGAACAGCCCCAACTCTCTCACCCTGCCCTCATAGGGAAGGTTCTCCAGTTCTCAGTTTTGTGGCCTCCTCTGGATTTGCTCCAACAGTTCCATGTCCTTCTTACATTGAGGACACCAGAACTGTGTGCAGCCCTCCAGGTGAGGCCTCGCAAGAGCAGAGCAGAGGGGGAGAATCCCCTCCCTTGACCTGCTGCCACACTCCTGGTTGTGCCAGCACTGTACTTCAAAGTTCAAAGCCAGGTTGGATAAAGCCTTGAGCAATCTGCTCTGGTGGGAGATGTTCCTTCCCAGGGCAGTGGGTTGGGGCTGGATGATCTCTAAGCTCCATTTCAAGCCCTTTTGAGTCTGTGATTTATCCTAACCCTGCAGACAGGAGAGCCACAGGGTGCAGCCACCTACACGTGTGTCTGCTCTGCCAAAGGATGCGACAGTCTACCTTCAGCTCTCCATCAAGTGCTCAATACAGCATGATGGAAGACACCATTTCTTACCTTCAGCTTGTGCAGGGTCAGGTTGCCCAGGTGGCAATACACCTTGCAGTAGTACAGAGCCTCTGCAGGGCACTGCAGCAAGGGGGGATGCATGGCAAGGGTCTTCAGGTAGCAATCTTCTGCCATCTCATACATGTGCAGAAGGTAGTAGACTGTGGCCAGGCGGTGGAAGGCAACCAGCTCCTGCATCTGGTCTCCTAGAAGAGAGTTGCTGATACAGTCAGCCTGCAACACCCTCAATCCACCCAATCCAAGCATGCTGAGCCACTTTGGATGCATTTGCTCAACAGCGGGAGCATGGACACAGAATCACAGAATCACTGAGGTAGGAAAAGACCTCTGAGATCATCAAGTCCAACCTGTGACCCATCTAGACCAGGGCACTGAGTGCCACATCCAGTGGTTCCTTGGACACCTCCAGGGATGGTGACTCCACCACCTCCCTGGGCAGCACATTCCAATGCCTAATCACTTTTGTAAGGAGACATTGGCCCAGAGAAAACAGAGACATGGGCAGGGTGGTGATACCACAGCTGGACAAGAATAGATCCTTCAACCTTGGATGCTGGAAAAGGTTGTTACTGGTTCCAGCCCAGCCATTCATGCTGGCATGTTGCCCATTCAGACTAGTTCTGCAATGGGAAGGGCTGAGTTTATCAGAAGAGACAGGGTAGAGAGGAACTGCTCAGTCCTGTGCCTTCATCTGACTTCCCATGCTCTGGTGTAGCAAGAACCTTCTGCTCAGCAGGTCCCAGTACCACCAGAGCAGAGCCACATGGGCCATGTGGCTGTCACACAGCTCAGAGAGGGAAGTGGCCTTAAAAAGATGTTACCACTTAGGGTAAGAATAGGTCTAACAGCCTTAGGAAAGCAGGACATCTTCCTTTCACATGCACACTGCTGGCAGCCAGAAAGCAACCCCCTCCCAGTTGGCCACCACTCACCAACCCTGAGGCTGAGCCTGGCTGCCAGCGTGGCAAACTCCAGCGCCTTGTCGTAGCCCTGCAGCCTGATCTGCAGCTCTGCCAGCTTGTTGAACAGCCTCAGCTCTGTCCTGGTGGCCTTTAGCTTTCTGGCCAAGGGCACAGCACCTCCCTGAGAAGAGAGAAAGGTCAGGCCAGGATGTTCTGGTGGTATCAGTGCTGCCCACAGAGGGGTGGCACAGCAGTGGGACAAAGACCAAGAGGTTGGTTGGCATGGCAGGTGGAGGATGGGGTGGTTGAGTGCTGCAGGTTTAGGTTCTAGCCCCTTCTTTGCCTTGAAAATCAGTTTATACCCCTGATATAAAGCCGGAGTCTCACATCTGCCCTTCCTTAAATGCCTTCAAGTCCAACTCTGAGTGTGTCCCCAGCTCACACCTAACACCTCCAGGATCTGTAACTCAATGACTCTGTTCCCACCTCCCAAATGATCTCTGGGATGAGCTGCAGCCACTGAAAAATACATCTGTGCTCCAGGATTCCCACTCTGGCACACTTCGAATCATAGAATTTTAGGGGTTGGGATGGACCTTACAAATTATCCAGCCCCAGCCCCCTGCCCTGGGCAGGGACACCTCCCACCAGAGCAGGATGCTCAAGGCTTTAGCCAACCTGGCTTCCTCATCCCTCTCCATCCTCCATCCTGGCCACACAGTGCTGCAGGCAGAGCCTCCCCAGCCATGACCTCGTGTGGCCACAAGGCCAGAGATGCCTGGAGGGATGAGTACCCTGTAAAACTCCACCGCTCGCTCCCTGTTCCGGCTGCCGTTAAAGAAGGTGTCACCTGCTTTCTCATACAGCTCCATGGCCAAGGAGAGGTTCTCCCACTTCAGAGCAGTCTGAACAGCTGCCTAGAAGGAAAAGGAACTGGAGTGAGGCTTGAAAACAGACATTTGCATAGAGACATTGGTGTGATTAAATCAAACCAAGTCATCTTAAGTGTGAACTCCAATAGGTAAGAGTGAGGATCCATGTGTCCAGGCTGGTGCTTTGCTGGGTGCTCCAGCTCAGGACAACCTCAGCAGACCCAACCAAACTCCTGCTCTGCTTGCTCTGGGCACAAGGATGGATTTCCCACTTTTTGATAGGAACTGCTGCTGGAATAAGGGAGCACTAATATTTGATGAGCTGCTCCTCCACTTTGTAGCTCAGCTCACAAAATAGTGCTAGGAATGGAGAGTAGCCAGGAGTCTTTACTCCAAGAAGTCTCCAATGATTTCCCTGGCACTTACTCCGTATCTATGTGTATTTCAATGGGAACTGGTCACTTGGCACCTCCAGCTTCCTTTGGCACTCCTACATCACTTTCTTACCCAATGAATTCACTTACTTTCACCCAAGAATCCTTTAAACCCAATGTGTGGAAAGAAAGAGGAAATTCAGTGCCAGACAGTGCCTGAGTGTAGGGCAACAGCTCCTCCTTCCAGCAGCAGGTATACACTGCTTATAAGAACTTTCCCTTCCAGGTCTTCCAGCCTCAAAAGGCGCCTGGCCAGGAGCTGTGATAGGAATGCAGCTAGCCAGGGTGGGAATGGGAGGCAGGGAGGGAATGGGACAGCTCCAGCCACTGCCTCCATACCTGAAAGTACATTTCCACCAGCTCATCCTCCTGCATAAGATAGTAGAGTCTTCCTGCCTGCAGCCAGGCCTCTGCTGCCTTCACACTCTCCTCGAGGTCAATGAAGATCCGTAGACTCTGTTTGGTGCAGTCCAGGGACAGTCTCAAAGCCCTGTGAGGGTAACAGGGGAAAGGGCACTACAGAGGGACCACAGGACACTCCCAGCCATCAGCTGCAAAACTCCCACACCACCTGCATGGCAAGCCCATCCTCTCCCATAGTTGCCAAAGGTTAGAGACAAAACGACAGGCACAGCTCTGAGTAGTGTGTCCTGCTGAGAGCATGCAAGTCTCCATGGTTTAATGCATGTATGTGTATCATTTGGCAGCCTTATTGCAGCCCAGGACTGCAGTGCTCAGCACAGCTCCAAGGCAGCTGTTCCCACAGCTGCTCCCACCCCTGGGTGCTTCACTGGATAAAATGGACTTTGTCCAGGTCACCTGCAAACTCTATTTGCCCCCTTAAAGTCAATCCCAGCTCCACATGGGAGCACAGGCAGGGAGTGTTTGTTGTGCAGTCCAATAGACACATCTCTGACTCCCTGTGCAAGACTTCTCAGCCCTTTTCAAGCCACTGGTGACTAGAGGACACAGGGACAAGCAGCAGGGTTGGACACGAGCTCAGCTGTGGTGAAGGGAGAGCCAGGCAGTGCCCAGGGCACTCTGTTTGCTTGGTGTGTACCCTGCTGGCAATCAGGCTCCAGCTGCCCTTTGAGCCCAGGGAATGGGGTGCTTTGTGCTCTTAAATAGCACCATTACTTCCCAGGCATCTGCTTCCTAAATACCTTCCCTCTGGACTCACCATGACCTGGGATGGGGAGGTGAACATCCAAGTTAAGGACAGCCCCTGCCCAATGTCCTGGGACATGGGAACTAGTTCTCCACTGTTTGACACATTTGCCTTCAAGGACTGAAGTCTGTGGTCTGACCAATCTCTTTCTGTCCTCTCCTGTGTAATCTAATCAGTCACCTCCATGTGTCAAGAGGGAGACTGAAAGGTGAGCTGATACTGAGTCTTAAGTACCTCCTCCAGGGCCTTAAGCACCTCCCTGGGGAAGACATCCCAGCACAGTCAGCAGCCAGAGGCTGAGACCAGACTTAGTTAAATACCAGATAAGGGACCTATTTTTCCTGGTGAATGGTCATTAATCATTGGAATTAGCCTCCAAAGGAAGCAATGAATTCCCTGTCACTATCCCCTCTGATGAAGGCTGTGAGTCTCTCTGGAAAACTGTGTTTGGCCACATTCCAGTTCCGTCTGGGACAGCATTTGTCCAACTGTCATGATGCTCTGGTTCACACTGAGCTGTTCCCTCTTCACCACCCAGTGACAGCTCCTAAATCTGAGCAGTGCACAAACCAGAGCCACCACACACCTTCCCACCTTCCCAGGGAAGACACTGCTCTTGCCCTGGGTCAACAAGGACATTGCTCCAACAGCCACAGACAGGACTTACTCAGGTGTGCCCAAAGCCTGGTAGAGCTGGCTGAGGGTGTGCTGGGCATTGCCCTCCAGCTCCCTGTCCTGCAGCTCTTGTGCCAAGGACACCCAGTGCTGGTGGTAGGTGATGCAGGCCTGGACATCAGGGCACACTTTGCTGTAGAAGTGGCACAGAGCCTCAGTGATGTGCAGCTGACCTGCATGGCACAGGGGAGGGAAAAGGGCAGGTCAGGGGGTGGCATTAGGGCCCTGGCAGGTGCTGCTCAGAGCTGAGTACTGCCCTGGGTCCCACTCTACTCACTCCTCAAGTTATGCCACTTCAGGGCAAAACCCAAAGCCAGTTCATAGCAGAGCTTGGCATCTTCCATCTTCTGCCTGTCCACCATGGCCTGTGCCAGCCACAGCAGCACCTGCACCAGCTCCATCTCCAGGTCTTCACTGCCCTGGAGCTCAGCATAGAGCTGAGCTGCCTGGAGCAGGTAGAGCTCAGCCAAATGACTTGCCCCATGGGAAAGGCTCAACTGCCCTAGGTTAGCCAGGGCAAGAGCCTGGTTCCTCTTGTTCCCAGTCTCCTTGGCCTTGTGCAGGGCCCAGAGGAAGTTCTCTGCAGCTGCTTGCACCTGCCCTTCTTCCTTGAGGGCAATGGCTAAGAGGTTGTGCACAGCTCCACCCTGAGTCACACTGTCTGTCCCATGCAGGGACCTCAGGAGCTGCCACAGGATGTCCAAAGCTGGGCCTGGCTGCTTCTGCAGGAGGTACATCCATCCCAGAGAGAGGGAGGACTCAAAAGCCTCCTCCTCACCCATCATTCTGCTGAGGGTTACAGCTCTGGCTGCGTAACAAACTGCCCCATCCAACATCCCATGCTGGAGGTACATCCTGGAGATGATGGCACAGAGTGTCCTCTGGGTGGGCACAGCTCTGGTCTCACAGCAGAACCGCAGTGCCTGTTTGAGATAGAAACAAGCCAGTGCTGGGATGCTGCTCCTCTCCACGTGGCTTCCCAGGAGTTTGGAAGCATTTTGGAGGATGAAACCAGCTCTCCAGATGGGTGTTGGTGTCCCCTTGGTGCCACTGGGAGCAACCAACCTGGCAGAGGCCACTGCAATGTTGGGCAGGTACTTCTTGTCATATAGGTAGCTCAAGGTGGCATCCAGTGGCACACAACTGGTGTCTGGGCTGACCAAAGTGCTGCTGAGACACTGCAGATGCTCAGCAAAGGGCAACACTTCCTCAGTTTTGCCCAGCTGGAGGAAGAGCTTGACAATGAGGAAGCAAACTCGTGCCTCCAGGGGAGCATTGCCCACAGCTATGGCTTCCCTCAGGATGTATATCAGAACATCAGCCTCGTGCTCAGAGCTGAAGGAGCGACCAGGCAAGCACACAAGCAAGGTCACCATCTTTCCCAGCAGGGAGGAGAACTTGAGTTTCATGTTCTGCTTCAAGTAGATGGACGCAAGGTTGACATGCAATGCAGCCAAGAGGGGCAGGTCCCCAAACCCCTTGTCCAGGACAGTCAGAGCTTCCTCAAAGTAGACTCGAGCTTGGGAGAACTTGACCTTTTTGATGCAGAGTTTACCCAAGAGGAAACAGAGCCTGACATGAGCCCAAACCGAACGAGTTCTCTTGGCCCAGTTCCTGGAGGTCTCAAGGTAAAGGACCAGTTCATCCTCATCAGAGAAACCATAGAAAGTGGAGTGGAGAAAGGAAAAGCTGAGATCATAGAGGCTTTGGAAACTGGGCACATAACTGTCCTGGTTAAGGAAGGTCAATATAGGGTCAAAGACATCAGCATCTTCCATGTGTCCAGCATTGAGGTCAATAAAGAACTTGGGATAATCCAAGTCATCCAGCTTCTCCAGGAGAACATCTTCCAATGTAGCAGGGGTTGATTCACTCCCTGGGCTAGACATCTCTGAGGTGCTAGTTGTAGCCAACTCATTTATTTCCTCCCAGGACTGGAGCAGTTGGAGATCTTTACTGGCATGGAGAACAGCCTCTGGAAGGGACAGAAAAACCACAGTGGGGTTAGGAGGAAATTCCTCCCTGTGAGGGTGCTGAGGCACTGGCACAGGTTGCCCAGAGTAGCTGTGGCTGTTCCATCCTTGGCAGAGTTCCAGGCCACGTTGGATGGGGCTTGGAGCAACCTGGGCTAGTGGAAGGTGTCCCTGCCCATGGCAGGGGGGGGGGTAAGATGATCTTTAAGTTCCTTCCAACCCAAACCATTCCATGATCCTCTGATATTTCCTCATGACAAAATTCTCCCTCAGAAGTCACCATAAAAGCATCCCACTGTGTCCCCTGCACACACTCACCTGGTGGCACTCTGGGGAACATGGCTGTAGGTTCAAAGCCATCTACACAAACAAAGAGAAAACACAATGCCCAAAGCTTGGTCAGTGTTAATGAGCTTGGTCACAGGCCCCATGACCACGTCCAACCCCTATGACCAGGTCCAACCCTCCATGATCAGATTCAACCTCCATGACCATGTCCAACCCCCATCACGACGTCCAACCTTCCATGCCCACGTCCAACGTCCAACTCTCATCACAACGTCCAACCTTCCATGCCCACGTCCAAGCCTCCACGACCATGCCCAACCTCCATGACTACGTTCAACCTCCATGACCATGCTGAGCAGAGAGCTTGGAGGTTCCCTCAACCACAGCAGTTGTCTCCACTGCAAAGCCCTGAGCAAGGAGCTCTGTAGGCAGTGCCCAGCACTGCTCTCCATGAGAGGCCATGTGGCTGGGCATGTGGAAGAGGGGCCACTCACCCAGGCGGTACACAGAGGTGATATCAGTGTGTGCCAGGTCCCCAAGGAGAGAGATGAAGTGCTGTTCATCACCATTGCAGGGGATGTGCAGAAAAGGAGACTTTTCTTCTTCACTCAGGAACACCAAATCCTTTCCCCTAGGGTGAAGCAGATGTCAGGAGGGAAGAGTCAGTGTCTCCCCATCCCTTGACACCACAGCTGTCGTCTTCCACCAGCAAAGCTCTGCTGGAGATCAGTACAGGGTTTTGGACATCTTCCCCATCCAGGTTCTCCATGAAGGAACTGATAGGTCCTTTCCTTTGGTACCTATTGGTCTATTTTTTGAATCCAGAAGCCTTTTTCTGAAGCCAAAACAACATCTGATGTCCTCTCTGTTCTCTGCAGTGGCAGAAAAAAAGTGCCTACAACATACCCTGAGTGAGGAAAGCCCAAGAGACCTAGCAACAAAAGAGACCTGTCCTCCCACACAGGCCCTTGGAGGAAGAGCCTTTTGGAATGGGCATTGAACCAGAGCTATGTCTTTAAGCCACCACCAAAGAAAATGCCTGGGTCATCAGAGTGGAGTTGTGTCACCCTCCCTCCCTGGACAACTCTTGCTGTGTCCCTGGGAGTGTGTTGAGTGCTGCTGAGTGAGGAACAGTGTCAGTACTCAACATCCCACAGAGACATGTCCCTGGGAGGGTGTTGAGTGCTGCTGAGTGAGGAACTGTGTCAGTACTCAACATCCCACAGAGACAAAGGTACATCCCCTGAGACAAAGGTACAAATAGAGGACATTTCTAGGTCCTTGTCTGGCACACAGATGTCCTGGACTGCCTTAGCATGATGCCAGGTCAGCCCAGGGCCAGATAGATCTGTTCCTCTCCAAGAACCTCCTGAGGCAAGTGAAATACAACTGCTCTGTCTGGGCAGAGCTGGTTGGCAGCAGAGCCTGGCCAGGGCTTCTGGGCAGACCTCAAATGGATCTTCCATGAAGGTCTTGCAAAGCAACTGACCTGCCCTAGACTCTCATATGGCCATGAGTTGGGACTTGGAGTCTTCTCTCCACTTTCTCCATGAATTAATGAAGGTAATGAATGTACTAACTGATGTAATTAATGTTATAAGTAAACTTACAGAGGTTCCCAAGCCTCAGGATTTATGTGCTGGGTTGGGACAAAGCCAATGCTGCCACTGCTGAGGGATCTGCCCATGAACCATGGCAGTCCTGGAACGAAGAAGCCAATGACTTCTATGCTGTCTCCTTTGGAGAAGCTCAGTTCATCCCATGCTGCTCCTCTGTGGTCCTCCGTGGCTCTGCACCTGCCTTTGACTGGGAACCAAGGCAAACAAGGGCATTTCAGTGTGAGGCCACTGCAAAACTTCCTTGCTGGAAAAGACTTGGGCAAGGAGAGACCATGAGTTGAGCTTGGCAAGGCTTCCTCTCTCCCCCCTAAGAATCATTGTGCTCTTGGGCTCGTATCTTTGCTATTTCTTCTGGAGACACGGATTATACAAACAAGAGGGATGGAAAAACTCCACCTAGCCAAAAGGATGGATAAACTCCAAGCAGCCAAAGGGTAAAGCCTCTGAGAGCTGCATCCTGGAAGGTGGTTGGAAACATGGAACTTCACAGAGGCTGCACTGTCTCAACACTTTGCCAACAGTGAAATCTTTAGAGGTTCATCACACGACACACCAAAGTGACACCTGCAGGGACCTCCCAAGTCCAGCATGCTCTGAGCAGTCCTGGCCTGGGGCTAGTGGGTGAATGGTGGGCACAAGGTTCATGTGCACCATGGTGGGACCCTCATCATTTCAAACTTCAGTCCTGGAAGAATTAAAGGAGAGATAAAGTTGTAGTAGAATAGAAGAACCCACTGGCAGAAAGATGGCACCAGCATCTCTCTGTGCTCTATGTTCCTCCTGTTCTCCTGTCATCATCCTTCTAAGGACACGTGATTTGCAAGTTCTGCTCTCCATTCCAGAGGGCCCAGAGATGCAATATTCCCTCAGAGCACCTTGCAGTGATGTGCTATTGTCACAACAAGAGTTGGACCCGTTGCATTTGGGACCAAAACCAAGTTTGCAGGAGCCATGCCCTTCCCTGGGACACCTTACACAGGTATCACTCACCAATTGGCTGAGTTGTGCCACTGATCTCCTGGGAGATGCCAAAACTCACAGAATAATTCTTCAGGAACCACCTGCAAGGCAAAAGAGAACCACATTGGTGCTCTCTGAGCAGTCTTGTCCTCAGGCCACCACCAGGCATGATGTCACACAAGAAGGAGAGATGTCCTGTCCCCTGGAGCTGCTCTGGACCATGACCATAATTCCTTGTGATGGTGTTACTGGGCACAGAGGGCAGTTTGCACCTCACAACTGCAGCCACACACCACGTGGTAAGAGCAGGATGAATCCACCAGGCTGTAGGGAGGATTTCACTGTGTGACTATAAGAGCTGCAGTGTCTTTGAGGCTCAGCCAAGTGAGCAACATGAAGCCCCAGTTCAACTGGCATTGCCTAAATTTCTTCTCCCACTTATTCACCTGTAAATCACTGATCATCTCACATCTGACCTAAATCAGTATCATACAAGGATGATATCTGAAGTACAACTATGTCCTTGTTCTGTCTCATTAACAGAACCTCAACTGGTTCCAGTGATTGTCTTTGTGCATAATGCATATCCTCATGGAATTGTGTGTGGATGCCTATCTGGGGATGCCCATTTCCAGAGACAAGAGCAGCTTCCCACCCCAGGCTTGGTGCCAGCACATGCACCAGGATCAGGCAAGACACTTGGCTTGAGCCCTATTTGCCACACTACTTACTGGTGAAAAGGGCGAGGAATTGGCTCTAGAGCTGCCATGGTCACCATGCCTCGTTGACCTGTCAGTAAGGACATCCCTTCCCGTTTGGACTCAACACCCTTCACATGGATCAGCTCATTCTTGCAGAGCTTCAGGCCTTTCTCTCCCTCCTGCTCTGCCTTCCAGACACCAGGCACTGCTCTGGAGAAAAAGTGACCTGCAGATACAAAGAGTCATGTCCAGGTCAGTGGCAACAGTGCAAGACATGGCCCAGCACAGGGCTCCAGGAGCTTCCTCCATGTACAGTCCCTTCACACCTTCCTGCAGCAGCAGTCCCATGTATATGGTGGCCAAATGATCTTCATCCACAGTGACTCTGACCTCCGTGTCCTCCACCAGGGCACAGTTCAGCCAGTACTCCTGGCCAAAGAGAAGCTGCTCCAAGCACCTGCCCACATACCCTAAGGAATCCAGAGGAAAGATGTTAGCATCTCCTTCACTGGGCATGAAGGGACTCTCTGAAGTCTCTCAGTTTGCCATGTGCAACCACATGGTGAGGCAACAGCCTCTAGTTCTGTCTCCATCCCTAAAATGCAAGAGAAGGACTACCCAAAGGCATCTTCCTGGGGCTCTTCACTGATCCAGGCAGTGGTTTTAGAAACAGCTAATGGGCTGCAAGGTTTTCTGAGTCATATCCTTCACTTATGCACCCTCTTACACTCACACAATGATCAGAGTTGGAAGGGACCTCCAAGGATCACCAGTCCAACTCCTGCCCTGCACAGGACACCCCAAAATGTGCCTGAGAACATTGGCCAAACACTCCTTGAGCTCTGTCAGCCTTGAGGCTGTGACCACTGCCCTGGGGAGCTGTTCCAGTGCCCAAACACCTCTGGGGGAAGAATCTTTGCCTAATATCCAACCTAACCCTCCTCTCACAAAACTTCAGGCCATTCCCTCAGGTCATTGTTCTTTAGTTGAGTTTCAAACAATGCCTTCTCCAAAAATGCTTCTCACACTGTCTGTTTAGACCTTGAAAACATTACCTAAATTCAGATATGTGGAAAACTTCCAGACTTCTTCCAGGGTTTTGAAGGTGAGGAGGAATCGATCCTCCTGTGCTTGCACACACACCAGCCTGGCTGAGAGCTCCTACACATGGGAGACAAGGCAGGATTCAGGGACAGTCCTGGGACTCTCACAGGGATCTAATCATACCAGACCCTGGAATGAGACCAGCACTCAAGTATCAGTTGAGACTGAAGCCGTGTGAGTTGGTTGCCTGTGGTTAAGGAGAGGTTGCTTCAGCCAGGGGTGATGGACCACCCACAGTGACAATGGTGATGCACCCATGGTGCAGTGGGAGGGTGAAGAATCACAGCTGCAGTTGGGAGTGACCTCTGGAGATCATCCAGTCCAACCCCCCTGCCAAGGCAGGTCACTTGGAACAGGCGACACAGGAACACGTCCAGGTGGGTTTCCAATGTCTCCAGAGAGAAAGAAGCTCCATCTCCTCCTCCCAGTCTCCTCCACCATGGCATACAGCAGAGCCCCTGTGGAACCCAGACACCTGAACCAACCCACCTGTGGGTTTGTGGCCCATCAGGACAGGCACAGCTGCCAGCCTGCAGCTCTGAGGCTGAAGCAGTAGCTGTGCCTTGAGGGAAAAGCTCTCCTGTCCTGTCCCTGTGAGGTTCCAGGTCTCCTGGGAAGCTCTGCAGGGAGCCCTGAGGGATGAGGGCCTTAAAATCTATCAGGGAAGGAGAGCTCAGTTCAGGCATCATCACTATACCTGCAGTGATTTGTTTATACAAATTCCAGTCTTAGAATTCCTGTGCATGTCCAGAGCTGTCACCTCCACCGAGGACCTGAGCCTGGCACACAGCTCTGGTGATCCTTGTGAATTCCTGTTTTTTTAGACTCACCCCAGGGTTACTTGCACGGCTCCTCAGGATTATTTAGTCCCCAGTCCTGACATGAAGCTCAGCTTTGCCTCTCACCTGTTCCCAGTTCATTTCCCACACCATTCCAGTCCCCTGCAGAGTTCCCATGTGCAGGAACACACCCTGCAGTGGCCTTGGAGGAACTTCTCAGCTGGGTTTAGGATCCCATCACACATCCCATCATACCAGCAACATCTCAGCACATGATCTGCTCTGCTGGGCTGGGGCGTCTACCTTGAACAGGGCACAGACATCTCTGTCATCACTCTCCAGGGCCCAAAGCTTCTTCCTGGCTGCTTCCTGGAGCTGGGGATTGAGGCACCGGGAGGAGCGACTCTCCATGGAGAAGAAGAGAGATATCTCTTGAAAAGGAAAAAGGCAGGGTTAAGGGGGAGAAGAAGTGAAGGGTTAAGGTGGGGAAGGAGCTCTGTAACACCCTGAGCTACCTCTGCCCCACTGCCTCCCTGCAGCCAACCCCAGCAGATACTCCAGCCTGGCTGTGATGCTCAATCAACACAAACCCAACCTATCATCCCCTTTCAGCCACCAAGATGAGACTCAAGGGATGGTAGGGGCTCTGCCCTGCAAGGTTAAGGGGGAGAAGGAGTGAAGGGTTAAAGGGGAGAAGAAATTCCATGGTACCCAGAGCCAGCTGTGCCATGCTGTCTCCCTCCAGCCAACTCTCCAGCCTGGCTGTGATGCTCAATCAACACAAACCCAACCCATCATTCCCTTTCAGCCATCAAGATGAGACCCAAGGGGTGGCAGGAGCTCAGTTCTGCTACTTCAACTACTGGAAACCTGGGAGATTCCATAGGCAGCAGCTTACCTGGTGGAAAAGCCTCTCCAACAGCCAGCAGTGCCAAGGAGGTGTCAGGGGAACCTTCTGCAGCCTCAGCAGTTGAGCCGCTTGGCTCCAGCACCTCCACCTTACCTAGCAAGGAGAGGACACACAGAAGATCTGCTGTCAGATGGTGTGGCAGAGGTGTAGGACGTCCTGCCTAACCTGAAAGCACAGCACATGGGATTGATGTGTCTTAAGTTCATAATACCCTTCATGACAGGCTTCTTTCCAGTGCTGGAGTGGCTTTGGAGTAGGAGACTTCCCCTCCCATGCTCTTGGATCTCCTCACTTGATAGATCTGTTAGAAGGATGACCCCGTGACAGAGATTTTTTGGAGAAGACCTCAGAGCAAGAGCAATTCCCCAGCACAGGAGAGCCAAGGCCTTGCAAAACTCTGTGCTCATCTGTTTGACAGCCCAAATGAGATGTTCTCCCCAGCCTGCCTGACCTGGTTGGTATCTGCAATCCAAGCTGCATCCTCTCTGCTTCACACATTGGCAACTATTGCCAGGAAGGATTCAGGAGCTGAAACTTTAGCTGCTGATTCTGTTAATGAAAGCTGAGGCACATAGAAATCCAGTTTGTTCTTCCACTGGCTGTGCAAGGATAACCAGATTAAACCCCAGTTCTTGGCAGCAATCAGACTGGACTTGTAAGACAAACATGTACGCAAAGATCTGAAGCTGGAACATGCAGCAGCTTCTCTAAGTCATTTCTGTGACAATAACTGTTTGGACTGAGCCAACTTTGCTAGGCAGACAAATAAATTCTTATTTGCATGCAGGATTATAATCCTTAGTTAGAGTTAGCGAGTAGAAAAGAACAGCCCAAGGCTGGACATGGCATGAATGAACCTTTCTTTGCAAGAAAGGCTCAATAACTTGCTTCCTTTTTTCTCAACAGCTGATTTGGACACACTTAACAAAGGATTTCATCTAGCAGCTCCATCCCCTTCCACATGTGCGGGAAACAGGGACGGGGAAGTGAAAGGAGACAGAGGCAGAAGCACCACAACTTGGCTGGACTCATCTACCAGTTCCTCCACTCCTCCCTCTCTCCCTCCCCTCTCTGTGTCCCAGCACACCCTGGAAAGCTCCACTGGGCTCAGCAGGGCCTGGTGGGGAAGAACTGGATCCTACTTCCCTAGGGATGAGTACCTGATGCCATGGTCTTCTCCTGCCACCATCGTCCCTGGCTCCCAGCTGTGCTGTGGTGGGGATGGTCCCAGCGGGGCAGGAGCACGGGTGAGTGGGGACAGCAGGAGTCACACTCTGCTCCTGGGGAACACACAGGGTGGGCAGAGATGTTCAGATCCTCAGCAAGATGCTCCCTGCCCGGGAGATGTCCATGGGCTGTGCCACAGGAGGTGGGAGGTGGCACACTGCCTGTGGCAGCAGCAGGACAGAGCATGGCTCTGGGTGCCCACAGAGCCAGGCAGGAGCCAGAGCCTGCTTGGGGGAGAGCAGAATGGGTTTGCTCTCACCAATGCAGTGTTTATTTTCGTTTGGGCCAGGCTCAGAAAGGGAACTGGGAGCTGTTTTCAAGAGACCAATTGAAACTGCTGGTGGGGACTTGTTCCCAGTGGTGCCAGTGACTCACTTACCTCCAAGTATTTTGTAACAGTGAGCAGGAAACAGCCCCAGCTCAGAGCCAAGAGCAGGTCCCAGAGCTCAGGGCTGCACCCCTGGCAGCTGGAGCTGAGTGCTCATGGTACCCTCTGGCACTGCCTCTCCTGGGGCACACGTGGCCACAGTCACTGGCCCTGAGCCACCTCCCTCCTCCAGCCCTTCAGCACAGCCCCATGAGCTCATTCTGACACACACTGGTGCAGGAATGATGCCTTGGGGGCTGGCAGCACCCCATGGGCTCTGCAAGCCTTGGAGCACTCCTGGGCAGCAGTGGCAGCTGGATAGAGGAGTCCCAAAAAGCCAACAGCATGGGGATAAACCAACCCCTTGAGTCAACCTCTCCCCTCCCTGGTCAAAATGTCCTGCCTCATTCCCTAGGCACTCTAATCCAGTGCTCAGCAAGAGGAGGGACCAGTAGGCACGTTGGGAAAGGCAGGCAAACAGCCCATGGGGGCAGAGCTCAGTGCTGGAGTCTCCCCAAAGGTCTCATCCAGCAGGATGAACTCCACAGCCACAGATCAGCCCAACTCCGAGCAGAGCCACAGCATCCCCACAGACAGCTTACCTGAGCATCCCAGGGTCAGCTCCTGGTGCCAGGGGGTCCCCAAGCAGCAGCCCATGTGTGCACTGCCCTCAGGAGCCCCGGGGTGCTGTGCTGGCAGGGGCACACACACTGCTCACTGCTGCCCAGCACTGCCACTCGGCCCAGCACAATGCACAATGAGCCCTTTGAGTGGCACCGAGTGCCAGCATAGAGGGGGCGATGGGCACGGGCTCAGGGCATGCTTGGGATGGAGTCAGAGAATCATTTAGGGTAGAAAAGGACTTTCAAGTCACCAAATCTGTCTCTGAACCTAATACTGCCAAGCTCATCACTGAATCAGGTCCCTGAGTGCCACATCTAGTTTCATTAAGGGGTTGGGATGGAGCTTAGAGATGATCCAGCCTCAACCCCTGCCCTGGGCAGGGACACCTCCCACCAGAGCAGGTTGCTCAAGGCTT